ATGAACATGGATATCTCATTCATTCTTGATCAATTGTGAATCGATTACAGTACCCTTAATGTAATAGACGGCATAACCCAAAATAAGCCTTTAAATCGCAAATCATATCAGGTTATCATTAAAGTATCATCCTTTCTGGAAACCACATTATGTTAGCTGTATCGAACTAATTTAAAAAGTTAATTGTAATGTATTGTATATTGATAGATTAAATCAAAGTTCCATTTCAACGAAGTCGTAAAACCCAATCTAAGACACAAGCCGGCTGCAAGAATTACTTTGACCTTTATAGATGAAATTACATTTTATACAGTGTGTCCCACAGACCAATAGAGTTTATACAGTGTGTCCCACAAACCAATAAAGTTTATACAATGTGTCCCACAAACCAATATAGTTTATACAATGTGTCCCACAAACAAATATAGTTTATACAGTGTGTCCCACAAACCAATACAGTGTATACAGTGTGTCCCACAAACAAATATAGTTTATTCAGTGTGTCCCACAAACAAATATAGTTTATACAATGTGTCCCACAAACCAATATAGTTTATACAATGTGTCCCACAAACCAATACAGTGTATACAGTGTGTCCCACAAACAAATATAGTTTATTCAGTGTGTCCCACAAACAAATATAGTTTATACAATGTGTCCCACAAACCAATATAGTTTATACAATGTGTCCCACAAACTAATAGTTTATATAGTGTGCCCCACCAACAAATAAAGTTTATACAGTGTGCCCCACAAACTAATATAGTTGTACAGTGCGTCCCATAAACCAATATATTTTATACATTGTGTCCCACAAACCAATATAGTTTATACAATGTGTCCCACAAACTAATATAGTTGTACAGTGTGTCCCATAAACCAATATATTTTATACAATGTGTCCCACGAACCAATTTCTTAATTTTAAAAAAGCGACATGTCGTCTTATCAAAAAAAATAATAATAACCTTTCAAATATAATTATAAAATATTTTCAAAATGCGCAGAGGTCTGCTTTTTTGTGCTAAAAATTAGAATCTGAATTTTACTCAGATTTCAATACATATCGTGGATTTGCAACCTTTTTCATACAAAAAACGATGAAAGATCAATGATAATATTATATTTGTATTTCATTTAGTTTTTTGTTAAGTAGGATTGATTGAACTGTTTGTAGGATGTAAAATATACAAATTTTTAACTAAATTATTCTAAAAAGTTATTTCCCAGAAGGAAATGGGAAATTTAGATATAAACAGGAAAATTGAAACTTCTAGTTATCTCTTACTTTTTATATTCACACATTTTCATTCTCGCAAAAAATTCATGTCTCTATAAATAATTTTGGAATACTTTTTAAAAATGTTTGCAAAAATGACATATTGGGTAAAAATGAGTAGGGAGGATATCATCTTAACAAAAAGGAAATTTTCATTCTATTTTTTTTCTCTATAATTAAAACAATTTACGATAATATTTTTAGTATTCAGTTCCATTCTCAGTTCAAGGAAGTACAAACTTTAGAAATATCAATTTTGACACAAACATGTTCACACGCCAACAATATCAATCTGAATATTGAAATTAGAGAATATACAACTCTACTGCTGCAAATACTAATGTACAATTTTATTTAATCACACCTGAGTCCGAATTTAAAGAATTTAAGCCGCGGCTCAAATATGGTTGGTTTCACTATTTTTCAAGATTTAAGCCGGCGCTCAATTAAAACCGGGTTTTGGGGAATTTGAGACATAACTACCTGACCTAACATACCCGATTCACATTAATGGTACCCTTTAAAACTTCATCTCATCAAGAATGATGAAGAATTTAATGTGCTCTATCTTAAAAATTGATCATTTTTGATAGTGGTTTCTCTATGAAAGACAACGAAGAAAAAAAATCAACATATGTCTTAGGGTACTGTTAATCTTATCTTTAATTTTATTGTTAATTTTTAGCCCTCTCTTTACACGGTTACATATCATAATTTTGTACTTTTTGGTCATATTGTTCAATGAATAGTTGTAAAAAGTTTATCATGAAGAGGGTTCTACATCTTGATTATGGAACAAGATTAAATATCCAAAAGGTCGAGGAAGGTACAAAATTAGATTATTGAAGAAATGGTTTAAATTTTAAATGTCAAAGAACTGAGTCCGAATTTAATGAATTTGAACCTTGTCTCAAATTCGCCAAAAATCGGTTTCAATTGAGCGCTGGCTTAAATCTTAAAGCAATGAATACAATTCTAAGTTGGACCAGCCATATTTGAGCCGCATCTCAAACTTAAGCCACGGCTCAAATTCTTTAAATTCGGCCTCTTGAGTATTAAGTTTAGATATTTTTCCCTCTTATTTTTAATTCATTTAATTGGCAGTAATGAACATTAATTGAAAGAAAAAGGCTAGTTACTGGATATCTAAAAAACTCACAGATTATTTATTTTTATTTTTTGCTTAACAATCTAAATGATATGAATAGATATTGATTATTATGTTACCAAAGTCAGAGATAAGAGATATTGCTAAAAAACGCGTCTAAGGCACATGTATTCATTATATTCAGAGCAGAGCAGTACTAGTATTTACTGGTACTACAGACGCAACTTCTGCTGTACAGGCATACAATTTTGTATCGCTGAGCTAAGAAGCGCAAGAACATCTTCTGTACAGACATTTACACATTTTTGTCCCACTACAAACAATTGCTTGTACTGTACTGGTCCGATTTTTGCTATATAGACAAAATGCTAAAGAACAACAGTACTTTTGTAAATTGTGTTGATTGAAAATAAAAACTGTTCAATCTTGGCAACTACAGACTAGAGCTGGGCAAAGTTCCGTTAACGAAACTGAGGTTTTCTAGTTCGTTAACAAACGGCAAAAACCGTTAATTTTTAAATCGTTAACGAACCAGATTAGCCATTTTTGAAGAAAAAAAATAACGGTTAAAAATGTTAACGCCGTTAATACTGTAATATACCATTAAAGGCTGTGCTGTTAACGTTTTTTTAGCCGTTAACAAAGTTTTTTAACCGTACACAATTTTGTTTTACCGTTAATGAAATTTTCCCTGCGCTTTGCATATTTGACGCCGTTAATTTTGTATTAACAGTATCTTTAATGGCTTGAGCCGTTAAGGATTGTTGAAAATTTTCCATTAAGGCCATTAATGAAATTGAGATTTTTAACTAACGGTAATTTTAAAAAACGGAAAATGCTGTTAACAGAACGAACATTTCGTTCTTAAAATTAATGGCTAACTGAAATTACTATCTTTGGAACTAACCGTTATCGACACGGCTAGAAAACGTTGGAACGTGCCCAGCCCTACTACAGGCCCAAGTTGTGATTTGCTTATTTTGTAAGGAGGGAAACAGTGCGAAACTTCATTTGCTTTTTTATATTCTTATATTAGAGAATGCACATCTTTTTTTCAATTCACTGTTTGTCTCCTGTAAAACATTAATCATAAAATGAACCAAGGAAATTATCTGGAAAATTATATTTAAACTTCAGGGTAAAAATAATTTAGATATATCTGTTCTTTTGCTATAGAAATAAGAAGTAAGTAAGTGCAACTGTAAAAATAAATGATGAATGTGAGATTTTTAATTTTTTCCTAAATTTATTTTCAGAAAAAAAACTATATTAATCAGGACGGTTTTTTCCGCACTGTTTATTTTCCCAACTTGGTTATGTGTGTGTTCCTCTATATACATATTTCATGTCTTTACGATTTAATTTCTTTATTCCAGTGAACACAATGGTTACGAGATTTGGCGGGGATGAAAAGTTTTTTGATTAATTTAAAGGCGGGTATAAAAGCGGGGATATAGTAGAAATCCTCAGTAAAAAACAATATTTGGCAACCTTTGAACACTGGAGCAAAAATAAATATTCGCATGAACAGTTTTTATTTTCCAAGGATTTAATAATACTGCATGGAAAACAGTTCCTTATTCACATACTCATTTCATAAATCTTTTTTTTTAGCTTGGTCTGCATTTGATAACCCGGGGGCCGGGACTAATGAAGGCGAGATGCGTTTGGTTTCTTCAATTTGAATTCAGTCTCGTTTTGTCTCTATTTTAACAATTTTGTAATCGAAAGTTACAGCTGTTAAATCAGCGTGTATTTATTGAGAATTCCATTTCTTTCTTTTAGTCAGAGATCTGCCTAACACGGAGATCACCGCTTGATCCCTTGATCAGATTTCATCTTTATATAATTTTACATATTTTAAAATATTTGAAATACATCAATAATCATGACGCAAAGAGAAATTTAAAGCAGGTTGTTAAATCAAACTTTATCTGCCCCATGTCTTTCCTCTTTGTATTTTATGTCATCACATTTTTTAATATAGTTACACTTTATAGTGTTGGAGATAATTAAAAGAATTCAATAAAAAAGAATTTAGTCTTTGGCACAAACTCTGATTTTTAAATCCTTATATATTTACAACACAGTGTCAAACCTAGATAGTTCAAATTTTTACTTCTGTTATATCAAATAATCTAAGTTTGAAATATCAAAGGTTTGCACCATCTGGTTTTAGTGATATATGTATTAGAAAATTGAGATTTGTGACAAAGACTCAATTCCTATATCAAAATTACTAATTTTTTAAAAAGTGATTGCTTTTCAGAGAAAACAGATATCAATAAGTGACATCCCAATTTTTTATCAGTTGATGACCTGAAATTGTGTCATTTAAAAAAACTGTACTAAAAACTATACTTTTAACTTTAACATAATGATATTTGATACAATTGATGATTCCAACTTTTACTTGCTTAGTAATCCCTCCTCCAATTGAATACAGATTTATATTTGTATAATATTTAACTATGTCTGTGCAGTACAGTAAAATGTAAACTGTATTCTACTGCAGTGTATTTGGAATAGTGTTTTAGCGCGCAAACTATGTTTAGAATTTTCTATATTTAGATGCGAGAGTACAAAACACCGGTAAAATCATCTTTTCTTACCTTGCTCAATTTTACGAAGTATAAGCTGCTTATGCTCTTCACTGAAGGGTTCCCCCACAACAATCATAAGATACGCCCCTGAGAGGGGGGATAGCTGGGGTGGATCCATGCACGCCCCTGTGAGCTGGGGAGGGTCTGCCATCCTCCAACTGACTGCTAAGGCCGGAGGTTGGACCAAGACTGGATTTGGTTCCCACATTCCTTACAGAGGTCGCTCCGGACTCAGGATTTGGGGAAGCAAGCTTTACACAATTTAGATCAGTGAAAACGCCTTGATTTTGCAAACTTCAATAAATTGTTCCAATGATATCCCTGGTTCATAATCTTGTCAATTATAAGAAAATTTAGTTGAAAAAAATAAACTGGGCAGATTGTTAGGATGGTTGTGAAGCTTGCCTCCCCTGGGCCTGGACTGCATGACAGCAGGATATGCTGCTAAATCCTCCAACCCATTGATCTAACAGCTGATTAAACAGCTGGTAGACGGTACACGTGGAGGTCAATTATAATTTTCCAAGTTGGGTGTGTTCATTATGGGTCCATTAGGGCGGAGCATCATGTCTTGAACCACGCCCCCTCTCAGTGTCAGTGCAGTAGACATGCAGTTGCAGCCGGTCCGGCCTCTTGTCTGGGATGACGTAATATCCGGAGAGAACGGATTTCAACCAATAAGAAACCCGTCCGGGACGAAAATGCCGGGAAATCAGTTTTGAAGGTGTGAACACGGATTGCAAACCTAATAAATCATATCTGACCATTTGAGATCCGGGGTTTAATGAAAGATTGTCCCATTCCCTCCTGCTCTAATATTATCCTAGAGAATTATCCAATCCGTTCCCTTGGATCTAGGGTCTCCGGTCAATAGAACAAATTGAACGGACAGAAGAAACTTAGATTTCTTGTGCGGGGAGACAAGCTGTATATCAGGGTTCAAGGAGTTAGAAGGAGACAAGCTGTATATCAGGGTACACGCGGAGTAGAAGGGAGACAAGCTGTATATCAGGGTTTAAGGAGTAGCAGGAAGACAAATTGTATATCAGGGTATACGGAGGAGCAGGGAGACAAATTGTATATCAGGGTATACGGAGGAGCAGGAAGACAAATTGTATATCAGGGTTCAAGGAGTAGCAGGAAGACAAATTGTATATCAGGGTATACGGAGGAGCAGGGAGACAAGCTGTATATCAGGGTAACGGAGTAGCAGGAAGACAAATTGTATATCAGGGTTCAAGGAGTAGCAGGAAGACAAATTGTATATCAGGGTATACGGAGGAGCAGGGAGACAAGCTGCAGTATGTCAAGGTACACTGAGTAGCAGGGAGACAAGGTGTATATCAGGATTATACACTGAGTAGCTTCATATAAACAGTACATCATGGACGCAGTCATTCTTTTAGGTATGAAATTTCTGGGTTGTGAAAAAAGTAATTTCAAAAATTAATAATGTTCTGTAGGATTTCAAGTAAAATTGAAACATGATTGCAAAGACAAAAAAATGTTATTTTATTCAAATTTCATTCGCATTATGCAAGGTTTATTGGCCAGATATGTCTTCCATAAATCCCTGATATTACACTTATAGAGTTTTTATTGTCGGACAATTTATTGCTTTTATTGAAATATATAGTTTTAAACAGCCAATTAAAGTTAAGATAAGATAAGATAAGATAACGTTTATTGCTAAAATAAATGTATCTGTATACAGATAGAGTTTACAATCACAAAATTGAGGATTATATTAACAGTACAAATATAAAGCAATTAGGTGGAAAATAGCTCTTGGCTGTTTTGATTATTTTTTCCACCTAATGTTAGTAATAATAACAAAATATTTCAATTAAATAGATTTAAGGAGAACGATTAGAGATCAGGGTGCGAATTTATCATATGCAAAATAGTTTATACATAAATTCGAATAACTAGAGTTTAAAGTAATTTTCAGACATGTACACAACAAATATCAAAGCATTGCAAAGAAAAAAGATTATAACTTATTAAGAGTTATAAATAGAAAAGATAATATTAGAAAAAAAATCGATCTCCGAAGCTTCTTCTTCTGGACTAATAGATTTAGCCAGCTTGTAAACAGTCTTATCAATTTTTATGACAGGGTCGACTTTGAAGTGTTGCCTTGGGCTTAGATTTTACCGCTATAACTCAATAACAGCTTTTCTGTAGCCCTTTACATGTACATTTTAGACCTATAGAGCACTTGCTGTTAGTTTTAAGAAGTAATTGGCAAAATTCTCATCGATTTTTGTTTGAGGGCGTGAGACCTTTAAATGACAGTGGATCGACTCCTGGAATGCATGTCCTGGCGCCAAGAATCAATATAGAGTAAAATTATTTAATCTTCCATTTATTTTGATCAATTTATAACAATTAGGACACATGACCTTTAGTTTTTTTCAAGGTTGTCTAAAACTCTGACAAAACTCTGACAAACTCTGACGAAACTCTGACAAAATTCTGACAAAACTCTGACAAACTCTGACAAAACTCTGACAAAACTCTGACAAACTCTGACAAAACTCTGACAAAACTCTGACAAACTCTGACAAAACTCTGACAAACTCTGAAAAACTCTGACAAAACTCGGATATACTCTGACAAACTCTGAGAAACTCTGACAAAACTCTGACAAAACTCTGACAAACTCTAACAAACTCTGACAAACTCTGACAAACTCTGACAAAACTCTGACAAACTCCGACAAAACTCTGACAAAACTCTGAAAAAAAACTCTGACAAACTCTGACAAAATCAAAGAAATCAACTGAATATCCAAATGTATATTATACAGAATAAAAATGATGATAAAAGCTTTGATTTCTCCTGGTAATATACATAAGAAGAAGAAGACAGGGCTGCAGATATAGGATCCATGTGAGCTGGCTGTACGAATACAAATGTTCTAATTGTTGCAGCATCCATAATCCTGCATGGTTACCCACTTCTTTCTTTCTTTGCCAAATCAATAAATAGGCATTAAAAGACTTTATTGAAGGCAGAAGGCTTAATTTAACCCTGAGATGACTTCACTATGTAAGGTCGTCTTTACAATCTCATTCTTTGTGGGTAACCCTGTACGTTTTACAATGTACTTGAATTATACACAAAATGTTTCTAGGCTTTGCTCAGTGTAGGATCGTTTTCCCGGGAAAAGATGCATGATAGGAATTTTCTTAGTTTTTTTTCTACTTTCCATTCAGGAAAATGGGACAATGTATAACGTTTATGACATAACTTAACTGAAATATTATTTGGTATAAAATACGTGTAGCCCACCATTTTACCTTACTGAGCTTGAAGTTCACGACACAGTATCGTCATGAAACCCGACGGTATGAACCCAGGGCCCAAAACTTAAGACAGGGTATCGTTATGAAAACCAGTTTTGAAACCAGGGTTTCACAAATGGGGTTAGGAAGATTTGTGGATATCAATATTTTTGTTAAGAATATTATTTTATTTAGTTTCTCCAATTTTTTTTCGAATCTCTCAAATCAAAATCTACACAAATGTTAAGACCCCAAAAAGGAAACTTGGGAGTTTCGTTCAACGATACTCGTTTAAATTTCGGGCTCAGGTTTCCTTAATTGGTAAGATACGCATTTTTTGGTTCAAAATATTTTTTCACATTATATGATTTTCTAATTCTGAGATTGTGAAATGTCTAGACCCCAAAGAGGAACCTCGAGATGTTTAATAAATCTTTGATTTGGACTTGAGCAGTGCACTGTCAAATAGTCTATAGATTGAAATATTAAAGATTTACATCATTCCTTAAGTATTCGCTTAAAGGGAGCGATTGCGAAAAATTAAAGAGGGTATAGGCTTACGGCGAAAAATAAGCGCTTTTGATCGCTACTAATCTTACTTCTATCTGTTGCGTCTATAAGGAGAAAATTGTTAAAAGCGACTCATGCTGAAGAACGTAGCGTCCACAAAAATTCAGAAAGTTGCAACATTCAACTCATTCAACAACTCATTCAACATTCAACTCGGAAATAATCAATTTAATTCCAAACAAAACATTCAGATATTACAAACAATAGTCATCAATTTTTTTTGACGCATTCGTTTATATTTAATATATCATAATATTTTTGATTCTGTTTTTTTAAAAATAATATTTTGCTGGCGCTGGATTTTCTAACATTCATGGAAAGTATGAAAAAGGAATAAATGATTTCAAAAGTAACTATCAGACCACAAAAAAATAAAAAAAAAAATATTATGAAATATCAACTATATACGAATGCGTCGAAAACTATCAATGATTATTGGTTGTAATATCTGAATGATTTGTTTGGAATTAAATTGATTTTTTAACAATCCGAGTTGAATGTTGCAACTTTCTGAATTCGGTATGGGTCGTTTTCAACAATTTTCTTCTTTCAGACTCAAGAGATAGAAGTAAGCTTGGTAGCGATCAAAAGCGCTTGTTATTCGCTGTAAGCCTATACCATCTTTTATTTTTCGCGAACACTCCCTTTTCCCATTTCCAATTTTTATACTGTTTTATTAATCTTTTTTTACCTAGTAAAAATATCAATTAATCATAAGTATACTTACACCATTTTCTCTATCTATATATAAATTTGGCTTGTCTGTCTGTTTGTTTGTATCCAATAAACGGCTGAACCGATCGGGCCCAAATTTTTTGTGGGACATCACGTGACCACAGGGAAGGTTTATGAATGATAAAAATAAAAAATGTGTTGTAGAGGTTTATAATTTTGTAAAGAAATTTAAATTCTTGAAAATCCGCGAATTTTTTTTTTAAAAATCCACAAAATTTTTTTCTTCTTTGTTTTAAAATGTAAACAAAAGAGCATGTTCACAATTTAAATAGAAGATGGGCGCGAAGCGCCCTAAAAGCCTAGTATTTGTAAAATTTACTTGAAATTCGAAAGTTCTCTTTTTGCTTTTATGAAAAAACGAACTGAATACTCGCCACAAACTCTTATTTGCTAATCCTCTTTTACTTTTCAAACATAGAATTTTTGATCTAACACAATTAAAAGTCTGAAATTATAAAAGTCTCCGACATCAGGTTGCAAAAATATAGGGATTGGAACAACAAAAATATGTCGAGTTAAAAATGTTTAATGTTCGGTCAAATCCATTTTGAATAACATCAAAGGATGATTTTTCACTATTTTCATGATGCGCAAAATTTTCAATTTTAAACTTAAACATAATTATTTAAACAAACATCATGCAATCTTTG